GAAGGAAGGAAGGAAGGAAGGAAGGAAGGAAGGAAGGAAGGAAGGAAGGAAGGAAGAGCGAAATCTCGCTTTTTTTTGCTTAGTTCCCCATCCTGCAAGTAACGCTTGCCATCCTAAAGGAAGTGGAACCCCCCTGGCTAGGAAGAGGCACAGGCTGAGCTGTCCGATTCAGCAGCGTGGATCGTGCTGGTCTCCTGTGCCTTCTGTTACTGAGAAAAGGTATCTTATTAACTTTGGGCCAGGGCGTGGTGCAGATACCAGGGGTAGGCAAAGCTGGCATCTTCCCAAGTTGCCAGTTTGAGCCAGCCATTCAAATCCCCACAATCTTACTGAGACAGAAAAGAAAGGACCTTTTCTGGTAGGCAGGAGTGGTGCCATCGGTTGTAGGGGCATCGTCTATTATCACATTTATTATATCAATATTACTTTTCCAACCAGTGTGTTAATTATGCCATATCTACACCACCTGACCTCAAGGAAGTCCAGATGGGTCCCCCTATGAGATAGGCTTGGCGGAAGGGGGTGTGTGAAGGACCAAAGTGTCCTTCACATGCAAGGGAAATTTGAGCTCAACTTCACTCCAAGGCAGATGCTTAAAGGGTTGGAGAATTCAAGTGGAAAGAACAGTTTATGGCAGCTGCTGGTCCCAGGTTTTTTTTTGGGGGGGGGAGGAACATTGGCTGAGAGGTTCTCTTAACTCCTGGAGGGCCCCCACCAAGGGGCGAAGAGGGGGCCATGCAAAGCATGAGCCATCTCCCGGAGGGTCCTGCATCCTCATGGGCACACCAGGCAGGTGGGTTGCAGGGCTGAAACGCAGCCAACGATGCCCGTGTGCTGGGGGTACAAGCCATTGATTTCACAGGGCTCACCCGCCCTCACTAAGCCTCCAGTGGGGCTGGACCAGTGAGCGTGCTGGCTCAGTGACGGGAATCGTGGCCAGCCACAGGAAGGGAACCGGCCGTGGGAAAGTCTGAAGGTGTGGATCTCCAGTCCTCAGTTTTTCATGTCAATGCGGGTGATGTCATTTCAGTCTGGAGAAAAGGAGGAGGTGTCTGAGGAACATGGAGCAGATTGGGGCTTATCCCCTGCCCCCACCCATTGCCCAAGAGCAGAGATGCACGATGTTGTCCTTGCAGGACACCAGGAAGCCGACTCCACCCCGCTCCCCCTGCAGCCAAACTTCTTCCTTACTTGTGTTTACCTGCTATGCTTCATTTCATTGCAGGCACCCCCCCT